TCACAGTGCCTATACACCAAGGCCGCTCGACGGCAGGCCATCAACCTTAGTAGCGCGACATTTGACATACCCGCATTCTAGTTGGAGCCTTCAAACATAGAGTTCTGCTTGAAAGTATAAGGCTTAAAGTTTGTGCCAAACAGATCTGCTTGCTTATCTCTTCCCGTTTTAAATGAGTCAATCGAAGATGCAGACACCACTACTCACTGAGGGAACCTATGCACCTCATTGAGATTAATGGTAGATTCACATTCACATCTTGACTGAGAACAAAAGGTCTCCAGCCTAAGTTCTACCTCTTCTGCTGAGTCGCTGGGATTGCTCATCCACTCTTAGAAGAAATGTATGAGGAGAGACACTACCTATGGGAGTCATTTCCAGGAGTTAATAATGTGTGAGAACCACGACTTGATGGAGATACAGCTGGCTTTTTGCTTTCTAACTCATTAGACCGACTAATCTGCTTTTCTCTATATGTTTGCAATTAGATTGTTGTACCATCCTCCTTGAGAAATCTCTGTACAGAGTTTCACGAAAAAAATAGCTAGCCCGACTGGTTCGTTGACTTCAGTGATAAATATTGGGTGTTGGTGAAGAGTAACTTGTAAAACACCGTAGGAAAAAAGAAGTCCATCAAGTCAATGGAACCTCAACAGTTTCCCCTTTAACTTTCAGTTTGTTTATTTAAGGGAATCGAAACACATACTACACAATAGGACTTTCAGGAGACAATAGCTCGATGTCTGCTCCGTAGTGTGATTGTGTGTCTCCGCATACTCTTCATATCATATCGTCGTTAAAACAATGCACCTTTTTGTTGATATATATCTTGATTCTCCCTTCAGTAGTTGTAGAGGTGTTAAGAACCATCTAGCCACTGGGTAGGTGGGCCAAACTAAACAGCCGGTTGTGAGTGTGGCCGAAGCTCAGGTCTAGCAGGATAGATCGCCATATAGCGACCATGATTGTTATTTGTAGTTGAAGACGATTGGAAGCGAGCTGGAAGTCGTTCAGTAAACCTAACTAACTGATTTCCTAGATCACTTCTTTGTACTGGCTTCCAGGAAGACATTATGAAGCTAATTCTTATTCTCCATCTCCAGCAATAATAAGTTCCTCAATGCAAGTTAGTAGCCTGTCAGTAATTGCGAAAGGTATGTCGTTACTTTTGTGGTTGAGTCGTTATTTACTAGTGCTCTACTCGAAAAGTCGTTTTATAAATATCTCATCATGCTGATATGATAAATCTGCCACATAGTAGGCTTTCAGGTCTCTTGCTGACATACACAAAAGTGTGCACTTTCTATCCATATCTGTCATAAAGAAAGAGGGGCTATTTGGGATTCATCTGGTCAGATATTTTCGGAAATACTTTCAGTTCAGGAAGATGATACCAGTATAAGGGGTACGATAATACAAATAATACTATATCCAGGATAAGTAGACTACATTGTATAAGGAGTAAGTCACCACAAAACCCACCCTCCGTGATACACTGTTACCCACATTTTACGGCCGCCCAGTGGAACTGCTTGTCTGGTGCAAAGCCCAAGAAACACACAAGGTTGTCGGAGAGAGAAACTAAGCCAAAGTAGACCTGTGTGCAACGAGTATACAGCTTGGTTGGAGAGCGAAAGGTTCAGCATTGAGAACTAACCCAAATTCTGTTTATCAGTTAAAAAGAGCCAGGTAATCTGGGTGTAGTTTTTGACTGCTCCTAAAGGCCTGGTATTTTATGTTTGAGTGACGTTATACAAGGTGGTCCGGACTGTGTGGGATAACTAGATTTTCTATCGCCAAGATTCAGGAAGTTACCAGCAGCTGTCGTCTGAAATATAGAAGAGACGTTCTTGCGGCTAAAGGGTGTAACTGAGTGATAAAGACTACCTGAGGTTTTTATGTCTAGAAGGTGACCAGCAGGTCTCTGAATACAGAGTGACAGTTCGTCTGTTTGGCGATATGCCTTCACTAGTTCTGCTAATTTCGCCTCACACAAAGTTGTCTGCACTCAGCTCTGCTCGTTAATGTGACGACGTCTTTTCAAGGGGACGATTCTGCGGCACGCTTCATATTATGCGCTAGACATGCTTCAGCTGGGGCTGGCTTTCGACTGACCAAGTGGTTTTCGAATATCCTGTAGTTTTGCAGGATGACTCTCGAATATAGGGCATCTGCTACATGTGGCATATTATTGGAGTCGTTGAACGAGTGTGCATTCGGCACACCATGAGTTTTCAACAGTTGTGCGTTTGAGTTTGGCCTATTAAGAGTAGTTTCACACTATCTTCTACCTGCAGATGTTATTTCAAGAGGTATGCAGAAAAAGATTGCAGTAGATTAACCCACTTGGTGAAACATGCGTCTTACAGTGAAGAAAATGGATTATTTAACCGAATCTGTTACGTTAATACCGCACTCCAAACCCATCAAAGTTGAAGAAGGATCACGAAATAAAAGGCTGTCACGTTTTCTTCGGTACCCCCACTTATGCATATTGAGCTTCCATTTACAGAAAACAGACCTGCGTTGTGAAATGTCTTTGACTGCTCTAATGGCTTCAATGAAGGTGTCCTGTGAGGTTTTGTCCTTTAGTTCCTGAGTGTTGAACTTGATTGTGATCTGTCTCCAGTTGCTTAGAAAGCTTTCAACTTTACCATAAAGGTTCATTTCACCAGATAATGGTCGGAGCCAACATCTGCTCCCCATCTCACCTTTGTGTCCAACAGACTAATACTCCACTTTTTTGAGCACTATTGAGATGAAGTCTACCTGATTTTTGATGTGTTCACCAGGTAAAACCCGTGTCCCTCTGTGTATATCCCTGAATTTGTACACGTTACCCCCAACTACCAAATCACGGAAGGCTCAGAAGCCTGCGACGATTTTTCTGTTTTCATTCATTTGGCCGGAGGTCTCTCCACCCATGATGAATTCTCGTCTTGTATCATTTTCTCCAAAGTTGGCTGGCATTCATATCGTCTATAAGGATTTTGATGTTCCCATTTTGGATGTCATCCATTGCCGTTTACAGTTATCTTCTTCTTCATTCCCTTGATTTATATATTGTATTTAGAATTGCACAGTTGTATTTTCCCTTCCTTCCATTCGATTGAATCTTGCTATCATAATCCTGGAGAAGACTGGTCGCCAATGAGTAGGAGCTTTTGATGTTACCAGTAACATTATATTAGCCACGCACTCAGTGGGTTAGTGTTTGTCGTCTTTGTGACTACAGTAAGTTATTAACACTCCGGTTCAGTACTATTTCATCAGCTCACACAGATTCCGAGGACTCCCACACCGTATCTTCTCATCCTTTTGGCAATCTGAGTGGCCTTCGTAGCTTCAACAATCATGCGAACATTCTATGCCCTCACACTTATTTTTGCTTTTATCGGAAGAAAACAAATCAACTGACTGGCTTCTCAAAGGCTTTCATCAGTCCGTGCCATTCCGTCTTCCCAGTTCGACCAACGAATCTTTTCGTATTTTTTCTATGCTGTGAAGTTCCTGTAGATTTGGGTCAGTCTTCCAAAGTAGGGTCGCAAACTCCATGTCCAGCCACCCCTCTCTCTATTGATTTGGGAGCAACTTCTAAACTGTGCGAGTTTACTTGGAAGAAAGATTTTATCCAGATGCATACACAAGATGCATGGACACAAGCGTAAATTACGCGGGGAATGTAGCGAGGGCATATGCTGTCATATACTTTACACATAGACAATTAGGTGCACTCACTCCTGAGCTCTTTCTAAGGTTGTATAAAACATACGTCAAACCGCATCTTGAAGTGCATAATATCATTGCACCCCCACTGCTTAGAAGAGACGCCAACCTCTTGGAAAGAGTCCAACGACGGGCAACAAAAGGAGTGGTTGGTCTCCGAAATAAACCATATGATGAAAGGCTGAAGAAATTAGGCATATTCACACTTAGTTACCGTCGTCTTAGGGGGGATTTAATTACTGCCTACAAAATGACAAACAATCAGAATCACCCAAACAAAGGTGTTCTGCCATTGAGTAGGTATAGGCTTCCTCGTGGAAATCCTAGAAGGATAGCTCATCAGAGGGCAAGGACCCGGGTGCGCTCCCACTTCTTTTCCCTGCGGGTTCGCCGTCCCTGGAATTCCTTACCGGCAGATGTAGCTATGGCTCCATCTGTGGACGCCTTTAAGCGAAGACTGGACAACCATGCAGCGATACAAGGACTTCATCCAAATGGCCTATCCCCTTAAGATTGCATACACCATTCAAAGGTAGACAATTAAACTGGTGGTTTTACTTATTTACATTCTCTTCCGTCTTACTCTCCTGACAGCTTTAACTACGCCTACTATTATTATTATCATTATTACTGGTAAATATATATATATACCGGTTGACTGACTGTTGTTACGTTTTCTTATTCTTTTTCTGTCTGTTAGTCTGAATACCTTCACTAATTATATCTATTATTATCTCTTTTCTACTGACGACGATACCGAAGGACCAACTGGTGAAAGGATCAACTCCATTCACAGTAGTAACAGTCTTAACACACCTCATACTACAAACCACACATAATTAACCCATGCACTACTCCTTTTGGAGTCAACCAAAGCTACGGCAGTCGAGTGGCGGGACGAGCTAAGCAGACGTTTACCGAAGACCAGGAACCTCTACCTCACAATCAAGAGGCAAGCACAAAGAAATCAAATTGGTTTATACTAGCTCGTAAAAACGATATTGGATATTGGATGTCAGCATTATTGTTCGGATACTCAAATGAAATACATGGTGATAGCTCTTCTTCACTTAGAGTTTATTTATTGAGCCGTTGGCACTAAATGAGATAAATTCGCGTTTCAGTCCTTAGTTTCCAAAAGGCAATCAGTCAGATGAAAGTTAGCAGAACAGACTAAGTCATTCAGAGCAGTTATATGACGTCGAAAACTTTTATTTGGTAGCCTAGGATAGATAAACAAACATTTAGTTTTGACAAGGAAAACATTTTTGCGAAACATGGATGAGAACCTAAATCCTACGGCGGCATAAGTAAATCTGAACGGTTCCGTAAGTGAAGCTAGCTCATTTTGGGGTTGTTCAAGCATATATGAATAATTTGATTCCAACGATGGTGTGAACACGGGCAGTAATTTTGCTCGAAATATTACCAATAACCAAAACTTATCATTATGTATGAACTATTGAAATATAATTATACTTTATTTGATATATGAATAACTTTATTGGAGTCATCCCGGTATATACCTTTCGACTCCAATCAAATTTACGGGTTGTATAAAGAAGTTAAGCGGTGCTTTCTGGATTTAGGCACTATAAGTTAGTAGTATCTATTCCTAGTAATAGGTGCCACACTCAAGGTACATCAGCAACGACCACTCAGATCGTTAGCTTTCTGTAGTGTTCTCTGGTCTGTTAACTTTGTCGACTCTTTACTCTTATCTACCCTAAACTGGAACCCTCCCAAAACGCCAGTTATCCTGTCATGCTTCTCCCGCTCATGCATCGTAGTTACTCCAGTGAATCAATTATTTACACAGTAGTCAAACACGTGACCCTCTTGGGGACTTCTCAAGCAGATCCAGAACATGAGGCTTAATTTTTCGTAACTAAATTACTAATCTAATTGCTAGTCAAAGGTCGTGTACCGAAGTGACCACTATAGGTAAACTTTTGATAACAGATCTCATATTTGACTTGATTATTACTTTAATTTTATCTGCTGATGCTTTGAGTATATTGGGGAATTTTTTTGCCTAGTTTACGTATTAATGTGTTATCATTACTATTAAGCTAACAAACCAAAGTAATTTTTTGACTTGACACTACCTTGATTGTTCTTCTGGGAGTAAACAGACAAACATCTTATACCAAAATAAGATGTAGCGTTACACAACCCTCAGTGGTAGTAAAGGCAAATGAATGAAATTCATGTAGTTAGGGATTGTGGAGTGCTTTAATGCAGGAAGAAATATAAAATCTGAAGCTCTTACGTTCTGCCTACTCAAAGAATAGTACAGCTTTATGTACTACTGTCTGGATTCAATATAGAACCTGGCACCGAAGTGCAGCAGTTCGAGTTGCGACGTTCCAAATAGCACACAAAGGTAGACAAGACAATGGGTGAAGAGAATGAATCGAGTTTTGATAAGTATAAGAGTGAAACAGAATGAGTAATGGTAGAAAGGAATTTGAAAGATTACAGAGGCTGAATACATCTGTGCCACTGACAGCGATTTTGAGCCATGTCGCCTATTGTCTCCAGCCATTGATTCTTAGAGTCCCGAGGGCCCCAACCTGGAGTCTGCATCTCCCTACCTGACTCAGTTTAACTGTCAAGGATTTCATGGATTGATGAGGCCATGTTTTTGTTTGGCCGCCACTTACTCTTTTCCAACCTGCACCTTTTTCAGCTAGTAATGCCCGTCGTGGTGGGGGAGGCGATGGTTAGTCATGCGCAGCACGTGACCTAGCCATCTCAATCTATGTAACTTTATAGCCTCTTCGATTGATTTTCCCTCCTTGCCCGACACTACGCCTAACGTCAACATTACTTACCTTATTATACCATCTAACGGGGGAAAGAGATCGTAGACATCTATGATCGATGTACTACTGTAGTTATTACTGGCAGTATAAAATGAAAAGCACAACGCTGTGAAACAGGGTATGATACAAGAAATGGAGGCTACATGTATAAATCGTCCAGTAATGTCCTACTGTGGTTATTACTGGACGATTTATACATGTAGCCTCCATTTCTTGTATCATATCCTGTTTCACAGCGTTGTGCTTCTCATTTTATACTGCCATTCTGTTCTTTTCCCGGGTTGTGATTCTAAATCACTCAAACTATGTTGATTGCAAATCGCTAATCAGTTTGCAGACTGTGAATTTAATTTGTGGCATGACCAGTCCCATCAAGTAGTTAACCAGAACCCAGGTGGTGTGAGCTGATTCGGCTTTCTGAGCTGAGTCAAACACGATAGGCGGTTGCTGAGCTTGGCCCCAAACGAACGAAACGGCCGTACGGTGCTTAAATCACCTCGATCTAGCCAGCAAGCACTGCCGGTTGATGTGAGTAGTGTGCAACTACTATCCCAGTCAATCAGTAGTACACAATTTTACGAAATCAATTTAAATATGCATACCTAAATTTGTTGTTGACAGTAGTAGTTTACAGATTTTATTTTTATATTTTTTGGATGACCGCAATTAGGACTTTAGCAGCTGACAAACCGGTTTCGATTACAAGTCGTACAAAGACAACTGAAGGTCCTCTCTTCATCCTATTTAAGTTGTGCACTATTTGTCACTTCCACTTCATCGGTAGGCGATCTTACGATCATTCAGATGTCTACTGTCACGGATGGTTTGTCACTTTAATAAAAGCAGTGTAATTTTTGAAGATGAAATTATAAAGCGAAAACTACTAATAGAAGGAGAAAGCGGTAATGATGATCGTAGAATTACTTTGCTACTGAAGAATTATTTACGATGGGTAGCTTCTGATGATGTTGGTGAAGATGGGTAAGTACTTCCTAAGATTGTTGATATACTCAGTTATGAGGCCTACCAAGCTCTCATAGCTAGTGTTTGCCAGTGTGAAAATGCCATGGAACAGTCGTCTTTGGTAATAGCCATGAACTATGAGCAGCAGAAGCAGTATGAAGATCTGTATAAGGAGATTGGTAAGTTAGATCAGTGCAACTTGTATCCACAGAGAATGCTATTGAAAGTGCGAAAAATCGCATTCAACAGTGCAAAGAAGACCTGAGGTCTGCGAAGACTGTTAGGAAAAACAGACGAGGTAATTTTCATTTGTACGGAGTTTATTTTGGTAGAGTATGACAGTCTTGCCAAAGTTTTGTCTGAACATCCAGAAAGGCATAAAACACTTGAGTAAGTTTTTAAAATATCTTTTCTTAGCTTATTTAGCTTGAAAATTCTTAATACACTGTTTGCTTATTTCATTTATGCAAAATGCTCAAACCTGTCATATATATATATATATATATATAGTTTCTATTCGGGTGCTGGAGTTATTATACATCTTCACTGGACCAGTGATACTCTCGCTTTAGTCTCCGTCTTATACTCATGGTCTTTCATCGTCTAACCTATTTCGTTGTGGATGTCCCAGCAGTATCCTATCCCTCGCTGAAACTGAGATTTTGTGTGGCACGTCTTTTGGCGGCCATCATGTATCAAATTTGTGTCCTGATAAATAAGGAAACTTCGTCTAGGCTGGCTTTTGGTTTTTAAAAGATCTCGCTTATTTGGTGCATTTCCTTGTACACAAAGTGAATTCTTGTTTCCGTAGATTATTCTCATTTCCTTCACCTCTGATTTTACTCGCAAACTTGACCACTCATTATTGGCGTGCTAGATTTGTAGTTGATTAGGTATTTCAATTATAGAAGTACTGATATGGAGATGTGGTTTGTTCAACATACATCCTTTGTGTCTAGGGTATAAATCCCATTTTAACCTGGACGACCAGGTAGCATCATCAGCCATCACACAAGAAGTGTGTCTTACTGTTTACCACATAAAAATTTATTGTAACTAACTAGTATTACTTGTATTATGAAACTAGCGTAAGTCTTAATGTCGTTATGTCTTTCAATCCATTACAAATTTAATTAGTAATTGTCACGATAAACTAGGGCAGATTTCTTATATCTGAGTGCTTCTCGTATTATCTTTAAAGGCGAATATTTTTGGTCTTGATAAAAAAATATTCCTATCTTGATCAGGATAGCTTCCTACTTTGAAAGACTAGGTAGAATTCTTGCTCATATGCTTAGGCTTGTAGGGTAAGGCAATAATCGCAGCACTCGTTGAGCTGATCTGATTGCAAAATGTGCTTTAAACATTTTCATTGTTATATATATATATATATATATATATATATATATATATATATATATATATAGCATTATGATTCAATGAGGTAAATAAAAGACTTGAAAATATCATCGGGAGTCGATTGTATTCCTTTCCTTTTTCTTTAAGGAAGAATTATTCATGATAACTCTTTGTTTGGTGTGTTGTTACTATTAAACTTATTATGAATATTTCATTGCTTGTCTCATGTATTATTCTTGATATTAAAAATATTCCCTTCTTTCCTTATTCAGGAAATATACTAAATTAAAGGCTACCTTGGAACGACTAGAAAAGTTAAATGAAGAATACGACCAAAAGATTAAACTTAGAAAAACTCAATTCCATTTATTCCTTGTCGCCCTTAAAGGATTACAGAAAATTGTAGAAGGTTGGTTTAAATAATGATAATAGGTACTAATAAGAAACATTATTTCTTTCAGATGATGAGCCGTTGTCTTCAAATATAGATGATTTAATGCATATCGAGAATACGAAATCTGTAAATGAAGATGATTCTAATAAAATGGATACTATATAGATGTGATATAATGTGTAATATTTGTAAGCATTTTTTAATGTGTCTGTGCTTTTGAATGTCTACGTTGGATCGCCTTGTTGCTGCTGCCGCTGTATTAAAATGACCTATCCATAAAAAAGGTTTGAATCAGTATCTATATCAGTACTGGCTTATAGTCTTGTAAATACTAATTGTCAAATAAACGTATTTTGAAATTTTTTCTTCATCGATGAAATCACTTTCAGAGGTTGTACAGTCGTACTTATATTTAGAACAACACATTTAAGCGAACAATATTGTTTTCAATTATATCTCATCAGGCTTAACTCTAATATGCATAACTTTACAAATAAAAATTCAAATATAAACCAGTCGTGGTGTTTTGTCTATAGGATAATATGATGGTTAGTGTAAATTGTGCAATTAGTCATAATAATAATGGTTTTATCAATAATAAGGATGAAAAAGTGAGGCAATCTGTGATAACACGAATGACGAAAAACAGCATGATTAAACAAACAAATGTTCAGGTAGAAGTACTCGATAAAGGCTAAGATATATATTTATCAAAGACGTATAGCAGTCCATTATTGAGTAATAAGGTTGACATAATTGGTATGATTACTTAGAAGTGGCTTCAGAAGCCAAAATAAAAGTTATAAATTACGTAATACTCAGCGGCACAAAGGAAGAAAGGGTTAGAAATTTGGTAAGGTCAAAATTGTTATTGAGTAGTGAGAAGAAAGGTAGTTGAGTGTCCATTTGACAAGTGTGAAGAGGGTGAGAAAATGTACAAACGGAATATATGAGAGTCATAATAATGAATTTACAGGGAACGACTAGTGAAGAGGTTAAGACCATGGTAGAATAAGAGACTGGACAAATGTTTTCTGTGTATTGACGAATTACCAACGCCTCCCACCATACGCAAGTGCCAAAACCTGAAGCCCTTTGTACGATTTAGCCTCACTTTGTGTGCGACTCTGGTGGAGCTGCGTGGCTTAAGTTCATCAAGGGCTCGAGAATTGAGCTAGTAGCTGTCTTGCATTATCCTTTTGCTAACCATGCTAGATAATGTTAAGAGATGCGTTTGGGAAGTGTGCGCTTTGTGTGGCCAATATAACTAGCTCCACAGGATCAGGTGAATTTATAAACACATTGAAGTGACCGAAAGTGCAGTTTATCGTTCACACATCCATTGAATATATCTCGGCTGTAAAAATTGATGCGTAACTCAGCTGAAAAGGAGTCTTTTCTCAGTGATCTGGATAAGCAGTTCTTTAGGAACTCAGCTTCAGTATTACCTTTAAACTCAGCGTTCATAGATAGCAGTTTCTTCGGTATCGTGTGGGTTCTTTCGAGTTTTTTTGCCTTACTTTCATGTTTTTCTAGGTGAGTCTTAAAGGATATCTATTTCCCATGAGGACTCATCTAAGTATCTCCAGTTCACCATCGATTGTATCACTGGTACATATCTTTGTTATTCTTGAGGATAAGCAGTAGATCAGATTTATTTTTCTTCTTAAAGGGACCCAACTCTGAAAACTCACGTATTGACCATTTCATGTTGGTTTTCTGTAGATTGATCTTTGAAGAAAGTCGTCAGATCTCCTTTGTAGAAAAACATTTTAAAAATAGAATTCCGAGTTCACATTTGATCCCAAGGTGAACTGGATAGCATGATGGCAATTGTTGAACTCCCTAGTTATCATTTCAGTGTTGGCATTCTCTTTGCATATGATAAAAGTATCATCCATGCATCTTTGGTATATATGAAAACTATCTATAGTTGGTCTTAACATACTATTCTCTAGACTTTCCAAGAAGCAGTCTGCAAGTAAAGTACACAATGGTGACCCCATTACCACTCCATCTCTGTCTGTGGAGTGTGTTGTTGAGTTTGAGGTGGACATTAAAAGTGCATCCCAGTAGTAGTTCCTTTAATCATTGGGTCGTAATACCCACGTTCAGATTATTATCCTTGATGAATTTGCATATAAAGCAAATAGTTTCAGTGAGGGGAACATTAGTGAAAAGGCACGTAACACCCATGGATATCATTTTCTTCCCGGATACATTAGTATCACTCGATGAATTCAAATGAATCTGAAACATTTTGCTGACAGATTATTTCTGATAAGTAGGAGGATGTCTGCGAGCCATTTATCAGTAGCGTGAAATGGTGAATTTGTCATATCCGAGATTGGCCGTAGTGGTACGTTCTCTTTGTGCACTTTCGGGAGACCATATAACTGGGGAATTACAGAACCCGATGGTCGTATTTGCTCAAATAATTCAAAGTTAATAGTCTATTCGTTCTTCATCTTCTTCAGAATTTGTTTTATCTTCCCTTCGATTTTCTCAGTTTCGTTTTTCTTGTTATTTCCTTTTGAAAATTTGTTTTCATCTGATATGATGGATAACATTTTATCGACGTAGTTCTGGCGATTCATCAGGACGATGCTAGCACCTTTATCGGAACGGATCAGCACCAAGTCTTTATTGCTTAAAATCTCACGTAGTTGCTCTCTATGCTTAGCTGAAATCAAATGTTTGACATTTGGTTTAGTAATGACATACTGATGACAGCTATTAAATACTGTAGACTTAGATTGTTCATATGATTTGTTTGACACTGGGAGATCACTTGCCTGATGGATCAGTGCTTCAAACTGGACTTCTATATCCAGGTCACTCGAATTCGTCGGAATGTCGCAGAATTTTGGACCCAATTACAACGCTTGCAGTTGGATAGGAGTTAATGATATATTAGAGTACCTGAAAACGTATTTCTCTGGTGTGTCAGGAAAACACAAATAAGTGTTAGCTGCTTTAAGACTGTTTGCAAGTTTCAGGTTTATGTCTTCACAACGTCTTCTTGAAACCGAATCGGTGTAGTTCATAAAATTTCTCTGCTCGTCTTTTGACAGTTCGAACAAGGTATGTTTTCTTAATGAACTGTTTCTTTCTACCTCTGGTTTTCCAGATTTTTTTCATAAATCACATTCAGCGTGGGACGCTTCTATGAGCGATGATTTGGGTGGATATGATTGCGACGAAGACAGTTCCAGTGAATTAGTCACATAACCATTAATGTTCGATTTCCTTAAGTTCAACAGTTGATTATGGCATTGATACTTGTCCTCCTGCTAGATTATAAAAGGTGAAAATATTCCAAAGTGGAGGAAGGAAGCGATTCTTGGTAGAAGAATTAAAATATAAGATCCATAAAGAGCCGATTTTTTAATATTTGCAGTTATGTATCCTTAAGTGTAGAAGAAAAAGCGAAAATCCTACTGATATGGGAGAGTTTATTACAGCACTAAAGACATTCACTGTTGCGTGGTAGTTATTCTTATTGATCGTGTCAGACACAGGGGGTCCATCTCTTATTCTGATATCCTATAAGTGAAATACAATATATATATAGCTGACATAGTCATGTGATGTTAGTTGTCAAAATACAGAGTCCAGCGGTTGTCATGAGTTCGTATAAACTTCTGATATGATGGTTGATCGAAGAGTTTTTTGTGACCTAGTGATTTTATTGTGATTGAAGTATTTTAGCACATTAAAAGTCTTATAATATTTAATTTTGGGGTTTTTTCTTAAACTGGTCGACTTGCAATTTAAGAAAACTGGCATTTTAGAGATGATAAGATCACTTCAGTGAATGAAAAGGAATGACTAGTTTTTGGAGCAGTTCAACCACCAATACTGAGCGTTTTTGAATATGAAAAGGATAGTTGGTTATATAGCAATAAAATGGACTAACTGACTGGTTTCAACATAGGAATTTGCACCTATGTGCAGCAGTTCGAGTTGCCATACTTCACTTAGCACACAAAGCAAGAGAACAAAGTAAAAAAGAAATGCAAAATAGAGACAGTAAACAGAGATATGAGGCAAAAAGTATAGTAATATCGGCGAACACTATAGTTTTATTGGAAATTATAAGTCACAAGGAGTGGATGCATCTGTGCCATTGAGAGCGATTTTGAGGCATATCACCAATTGTCTCCAGCTATTACTTTTAACCGTCCCGAGGACCCCACCCAGGAAGTCTACACCTCCCGACGTAGCTTAAACTAACTGTTACGGATTTCATTGACTGATATCATGTTTTGGTTTGACTATCACTAGCTCTTTTCCAACCTGAACGGTCCTATGCAAGCTAACATTGCCCGTCGAGGAAGGCGATGACTAGGCATGCGTAACACATATCCTAACCACCTCAATCGGTGTAACTTCACAACCTCGTCTATTGATTCCCCCTCCAAGCCTAGCACTCGACGCTTAACCTCAATATTGCTCACCTTACTATACCACTTCACACGGGAGATAGAAGGCAGACACCTATGATCAAAGACAGCTAATCTTTTCATGTCTTCCACTCTCAATGGCCATGTCTCACAGCCATAAAGGAGGATGGAGCGGACTGCTGAGCAGTACACACGCCCTTTGGTCGACAGCCAGCCGGATATCACGTCTACGCCAGAAAAAGCAACCACTCGAGCCTTTGTACAGCAAAACCATCTTATTCCGCACCGGTCGACAGTGAACTGGATGGAACTGTAAGGGACTAGTTATGTTGCTGGTATATTACATTGTAACAGCCTCACTAAATGCAATGTGCCAAATTACCTGACCAGTAAGTACCGATAGTAAAACCCAAATCAAAAGACTCAGTTATTTAGAAATGTACTCTGTTAAGTAACATGTAAATAGAATAAAATATTGGCGTTATTTGAGGAAAAGATTTTAGGCTTCATCTGTTCAGTATGACAGAATTATGGACTCTGTGGAGAAAGGCGAACTGACGTCCAGGCCTAGTCAGATGTGTACCTCTTAAAACACCCAAAGAATCCGTAGATGCACCAGACATTTCTTAAGTCAATATTAAGTTAATTCAGTTTCATGTGTTTATTTTAACCCCAGGTTTACTTTGTGCATCGGAAAGTGTGCCACAAAACTTCTGGAATAGTAATAACCGCAGAAAGTTCTACTCCCGGATTTGGATTAAGGACTAATATTTAATCTACAGTTAAAACAGACTACTTCAGGCAACGGAATATTTCATCCATCCCGACATGTCATACTTATGTTATTACTACTGACAGAACTGATTATGAAAGTAAAACATACTGTGAGATTACAGCGGTATTCTCAATTCAAATCCGGTGGATGACGTAACAGAAATAGAAATGAAGTTTTGTCACAAAAGGAAGAAAAGCTTGATGACTACTGTTTATTAACTGAATTCGGAACCTGCTATTAGCAAGATTTATTTCAAGTATAAACTGAATAAATTCCCGGATATGTCGTATCTGTTTTACCTTACAAAACTGAATGAAATCATGCTATCGATAGTTAAAGGATGAGTTAAGAAATTATATAGCCAATGAG